CCCTGGAACCCCAGAAGAGTTAATCTGGCCTAAGTCCTTGAACCTCAGGCCTACCTACCCTCCCCGCATGGGGCTGGAGTGCTAGGGGAGGGAGGTGTCTCAGTTGAGGCCACATCAGAGGGGCTTGGAGGGTTGTTTTTTTGCATCTCACTTGTGTGGTTCCTGACTGATTTTTCTGTGGGTAAGTGATCCCTGACCCAAAACAGTTCCCTGCCCCTCCCATAAATAAAGAGAATGCTGAAACATTTGTGTTGGGCATATTTTATTTAAAAATGAAGTCTGGCCAAGCACCCATCTGGCTGCAGCATCATAACCCCCCCTGCATTTCCCTCCCAACCCTGAGCCTATCGTACACTGGAACCCCCTGTCCTGAGCCTCTCACATCTCCAGTCTTCTGCCACAGCACAACTGCACAACCCACACACTGCAAATCTATGTCCTGTGCCCATCATACACCCAACCCCTCTGCCCTGAACTCCTGCACCCTCACTTCCACAAGCCTGTGGTTTGCTCAGCACCCCAACCCTCCACCTCACCCCAATACTCTCCAGCCTGGAGACCCCTCCAGAAGCCAGTAGCCCCTTCTCCGCCTCCTCCTACACCCAAATTACCTCCCAGAGCTTGTACCTTACATCCCTTCCCACACCCAAAACCCTCATTCCCTCATTTCAAACCCAACTCGTGAAGAAAATGCAGCATCATTCTTCACATTAAATTTGATTTGTTTCTGTTATGTCTTATGTTAAATTACATTTTATTAAATTTTTGTGACAAGAAAAACTGCATATTTTTTATTTTAATTAATTTTTATACCAAGTTTTTGTGTTTATTTTTAATTTTAAATTACTAATTGAATTTTTTGTTAAAAAGGGGCTTGGATTATGGTAAAGAAGAGGTGGGGAGATATGAGGGTTTCTCAAAAATCAAAAGTGGTGCATGATGACGAAAAGTTTGGGAACCACTGGTCTAGAATTACAACTTATTGAACTATAGTTTGTTGTCTTATAGCTAGGATACTATCCATACATATTCTCTCATGGCACGACACAAGATTGCAGGACTTCTGCCTCAATTTCCCCCAATGGAGTCATCACACTTTGTTATAAATGTGACTTAGGCCTGCAGCAAAGTCACCGAGGATTTATCTACACTACAGAGAAGATCGAAGCTACTGCAGTCGATCTTCCAGAGTTCAGATTAGTGGTTCTAGTGAAGAGATGCTAATTTGAACAGAGAAGGCATCTTTTTCTCATAGGTTCCACTCTTGACTAATAAGCAGTTAACTTTTGCTTGGAGTTGGGCAACATGAGTCCTACTTAATTAGACTACAGATCAGCCCTTCTCAAACTAGCATCCACTGTGGAAATCTCTCTTAATTAATAGCGTCTTGTAACTGTGCTGCTTGAGCTCTACTGAGTGCTCTACAAATCTTTTCAAATAGACAAGAGACTGCTTGAGCTCTTATTATTATTTACATTACAATAGCACCAGAGATATGGCTACAGAGCAAATACAAACCCCAGGCTGTTCCTGAGGGGTTACATTTCTAAGTGGGGTCAAACCCAGCGCGGTGAAGCTTAACAGTAACATTCTCTACTCAAGTGACAGAGATGTGAATTTAGGGAGAAACTCTGGAATCTCAATCCTTGAGCCAGTGGATGGAAAGGGTTGAGCTCTGGGAAGAATGTAATTATTGTTCAGTATCATTCTTTCTGCCAGCCAGAAAGAGAACTTCCAAAATGGTGAATGCTCAATGTCAGTGGGAGCTTTTCTCCCTAACCTGCCTCTGTGCTACCCTAGTAAGCCATTTTTCCTATTTCAAAATCATGCTAGTACATAGAGATAGGAAACAGACCCACAGGATAACCCACAGGGAATGTAGACCTGTAATTCACCATCATTAGATCTCACTGAGATGGCTTGGATCAAAAAGACCCCCTTGAGACTGTTATCCAATATGCCGATCATACCACTAAGCCTGCCTACCTGCCCTGTGAGTGCCCCACCACCCTGTCCTGCTGAGGCAGAAGTTCTGATCACCCCCAGCAGAGGCACAGAGTAACAGCCCCTCAGCAGAGTAACAGAGATACTGAACCAACGCAGCTCTGGGAGGGCTCAGTTACAGGGCCTTGTTAACACTTAAACCACCAAAGAAATCCATCTTACTCTGTAAAAAAGTTGTATACAGAGCAAAATCATAATGTTTTCTTTCTTTACCAATGAAAAAGAGAGATGCACAGCTGCTGCTCCCTCCCCAAGTAACAATTATTTACACTGGATCTAATAAACAAAAGTGTTACAGCAAGATTTAACTGTTCTCACGGGGGAGGAGGGATGAGAAGGAAGATAAAGAACCTAGCATTTCAGGGCCACTCTAATCCTCCCACCCATCCTGTGACTTCTCCATGCAGCAAATGCAGAAAGGATAAAGAGCCCCTGGTGTTGCATATTTGCATATGTCATGCTCTCATTTGCATTTCCTTCTTGGATCCCTTTTGCGCAAGGGGTTTTGGCCCAAAAAAGCACTGTGTAGATGGCTCCTTGCGCAAAACCCCCCTTTTGTGCAAGAGCCATTCTTCCTCAAAAAACGAGGGGAGGATTCAGGAGGTTGGGCCAAAATGCGGTTGCAGCCCACCCCTAAAACCAGCTCTGTTGGCGGCCCCGGGCAACCGCCTGGCTCACCCACCCCTAAGACTGGCTCTGGCTCTCTTCATTTAGGCAAGGAATGGGCATCTTGGACTTGACATGGTGGTACTTTTGCAAATAGTTTTTATGATCACATGTAAGCTTCTTCCATAGAGCTGTTGTGTGGGATACAAATGATGGAGTGGTGAGTGAATTGTGTAAAGCGGGTCAGTTAATTCCAGAGAGTGTTTGTATTGGTGCTCAAAATCAGCATGATTAGTTGGGAAGTTTTTCAGTAGTAAATTACTGCCTGTACAGGGTAGTTCGGGAGAGTAGTATTACTTCCATCAGATACAATGAAAAGTACTCGATTGTATGTGGTTTAGTAGGAGAAAAAGAAATGACTAGGAAGTCCATTTTGTATTTAAAAGTCACAATGGGACACATTATAGAACTGAAAAATTGTAAGTAATACACTCTGGGTGAAATCAAGGCCCCACTAAAGTCAGTGGGAAAAACTATAGACTTCAATAAGTCTAAATGAATGAATTAACACAGGATAGTAAGTACAGGTAGTCCCCGGGTTACTTACAAGATAGGGACTGTAGGTTTGTTCTTAAGTTGAATCTGTATGTAAGTCAGAACTGGCATCCAGATTCAGCCACGGTTGAAACTGATCAGTTTCAGCAGCGGCTGACGCCAGTTCCGACTTACATACAGATTCAACTTAAGAACAAACCTACAGTCCCTATCTTGTAAGTAACCCGG